AAAAAAGAATCAAATAGACGCGATTTAAATTCGATAAAATCGCTAAAATCTAAGAACTCGATATAAATTACTTATTTTAAAAAATAATAAAGACTTTATTATTGATATAAAGATGGAACAAATACAAAGAAAAATTATCCGACTGATTCTGCTGACTCGATCTGTAGCCCAGTTGGTAACAGCGGTAGCCGTGGTTGGGCAACAGGTACTGATTCATAGTCCGTCAGATTGAAGGATTTTTTATTTGTTCGATCTTTGTATTAATAATAACAAACTAGTGGAGTGTTTTCACTAAAAATGTATGAAATGGTATACAAAACATCAAGTACATTCAATAACATTACTAATTAGTGTACAAAAAACACGACAAAATTACTCGTTTATTTACAAAACCAAGCAGTCAATGACTAAAGTATGTATAATGTCAGCATTACTGCGTTCCGGTTTTGAAGGGTAAGGGCACTGGTGAAAGTACAAGCACATGTGACTTGCCAACTTATGTCTCAGGGTGACGTTTGCAGTGACAGTGCCCCTCAGATCTTTGTGATTTAAAGCTCTGAGTGGCACTGCAACTGTTATGGACAGCCGTGTAACTTACCACCAGGCGTACGACTTGGTCGTCCCGTCACTTGATATTACAAAAAAAAAATTAAGTCTGCAAAATATCAAAGTACGAAATAATTTAAAAAAAATGTCCATTCAAATTACTTACCACCCCAAATATGACTAAGCAGAACAAACGGATATATTTTTATATCATACGGATTAAACGGATATTCGGTAAGAAATGGGAACTCTAATTCCACTTTATTAAATGCCAAAAAATTGTACGCCGTTCTAGCCAGCGGCATTGACGGAAACGCAACAATCAGGAGCCAGTTGAAGAGATTTGATACTTTTAATACAAAATGTAAGAATTTTATTGGTTCTTCAACCAGTATTTTACTTTCAATACTGTTCAAATCGACTTTGCTTTCGAGTTCTCTCAATTTATAAACCAATTTGTCGACATAGCTTGCATTCAGCATAATTGATAAGGACTTAAAGTTACATAAACAGGCCAGTGCAATGCTCGGTGCTGCATAGGTGAGAGAAACCAGTGATTCTCCTTTCGATGCTTGCTTTACAAACCACCAAAACCCCCCCAAAACGTTTAAATTCAGCCCAATAAAGTGAATGCAATACAAAATTCTTGCTTTCCTCACATTATAGTCTTTGCGGTTTCTCAAATGCAAGCCACTCCAACGAAATGTATAATCGATTATACGTAAATATTTGTCGAATAGAGAGTTTTCGTCCATTATGTTGTAGTAACGTTCTTTGATTGTGAATTTATTTTCTTTGTTGTAGAGTTTTATATATCTTAACTAGGCGTAGATTAAAACAATGTACAGTCGCCTTCATTAATATGTATATATTTAGCAATACCACGAACAACTTTGTTGATAATTTTTTTAAAGAATTTT